ACTATTTTTGATGATTTTGATAAGGGATATCAGTTAAAGAAATAACTGTTTTGTGACGTTCGTGGCCATTTTCTCCGTTTTCTACTTTTCGACACAATGAACTTCAAAATAGCATAACTCGGCCCAGGAATGACCAGTTTCAAAAATTAAACCACCTATTAAAAGGAAAAAGAACATATATTAACAGTATGTAAAAATATCATTTTCAACCTTATGCCCAGAAAAGTCTGATTTTGACAGAACAGGTCACATTTGCCATAGTCCGTCATGAGTGATCTACATACATGTACTCGTATATTAAGCACCCAAATATGCAGGACAACAGTAACAAAGCTCCTGATAAGCTGATGCATCCTCCAAATCTCTTCTGAGTCAGGCTAAACCCTCCCATGTGAGAGTAGTTTCATAAATTTATGCACAACTGACTGGCTATTTTTACTCTGAACAAATTGATGCATTTCATTCCTACACATACATGTACATTTTTGTACATTCCTGCGTGGTGCATACAAAAATACAATTTGCCTTTGCGTTTTCCTGATCAAAATGGACAGAGCTTTTGGAACCCTCAGGTTGAAGACTTATCAGCTTTTTAATCTAATTACTCTCCGAGCTGCACCTGGACTGTCTTAACCATGGTCTTTACTTATCTCATTCAGGCATGCACTTACCGTAATTTTCGGAATATAAGCCGCGGCTTATACGTTGAATTTGCCCATGAAAATGTTTACTGCGGCTTATACACAGGGCGGCTTATACGCCGAGCCTTGAAGAATAAAAATAAGATTCACATGTATGTGTATTTAATGTACTGGTACAAGAAGAGATGTGTTGCTGAAATGAATTATAAATTAAGAAAGTCATTAACAAACCGAAACCACGTCTCACGTAAAGGTACCGAGCGGTAAAAAGTACGGTGATGAAAGTTGTCTTCGACACTTGCAACCAGCCGTACGTGATACTGGTACAGTGCAGCAGCGATATGCAGGCATGCTTTCCCAACAGCGGACCACACCATTTGTGGTAATAAAGGGGTGTTCTTTCTTGGGAACAATAATTACCAATATTTCCGCTGTTTAAAAAAAAAAGAAAAAAGACGACTAAAATATTTATGGCGTTCGAAACATTTTTTTATTACATAATCAGTTGTTCAACGTCACAATATATTTTGTTTTCTTGAAATGTATTCAAGAAACGATGTAAAACTCAAAAGAGGGACTAAATCACCCCTTACAAAATTAATGGATTCGTCTATTAAAATGTCCGCTTCGTTTTGACTATTTCCGAAGAAAGTTACGATCGAAACTTGAATTTTTATCGCAGCTACTCGTCAGTAATCGCAACAATTTGATAAGTTTTGATAAGTTTTGAGGTAAAAACGGACCTGTTTATTCTTTAGGACAAAACAAATCAGCATCTGTTGCCACAAAGCAAGATTTGTAGCGCTCCAGTCTGACCAGTCAGACAACACACGGTGGGTTTCATACTCTCTCACGTGCTGTGGGAAAATGTTGTCATTCACCGGCGTGCGTGGCGCAGGCTGCCGGGCTATGACGGGGCAGCCGGCAGCAGTTCCCGGTGTTTATTTCTCATCAATTCCCATATTTGTTTGTAAAAGTATCGATTGTAAATGATTTGATATAACTTTTGTGGTCCTTTAATAGCTTCTGTAGTGTAAATGGAACTGGTTCAGAGCTTTTTGACTAGAATTTGGAGGCCTTACAAAATTGAAACCGCAGCGGTCGGTGCGGCTTATACGCCGGTGCGGCTTATACGCCGACTTCAAATCTTAATTTGCAGATTTTTGCGTGCTGCGGCTTATACGCCGCGCGGCTTATATTCCGAAAATTACGGTACAAAATTATACACATACCATGGAGGTAGTACATGTATACATACCGGAACGTGTTCATGTGCGTTGTACATTATTGTGCATGCATCCTGCTTTCTTTCAACATGGAAGAATAAATTTGATTTTTTTTTTTGGTGCTTCTGCCAATTGCATGCATTTGGCTATGGTGGGATGAATGGTGCTAGATGTGGTGTGAACTGTGTCATCACAGAAAGAAAACAAATTAGATTGTTAATTTAACCCTAACCCTCACCCTCTTCCATCCTCAAAATCCTCCTTGCGGTTTTGGAGGATTTTGGAGGATTGAGGATAAATGGTGTTTGAGAAACATGAGGTTTTTGGAGGATTGAAGATGAATGGTGTTAATAATGAAGCACATGAGGATTTTGGATGATTGAGGATGAATGGTGTTTAAACTTTGAAGAAGAGGAGGATTTTGGAAGATTGAGGATGAATGCATTTTGAGAGTCAGGGCTGACTGACGATTTTGAAGGATTGAGGCGCTGGGTATCCTTCATTTGAACATAAAATGCAAAATGTTAGAGGATTTTGGAGGATTGAGGATGGTTCCTACATGTAGTAAAAAATCGGTTAGGGTTAATGAACGAACGGTACCTTTGCATACAATGTATCTCTCTGAATTTGTGTGCTGTAGTTATTGATTCCACCATTCTTTTTAGTATAGCATGTTTATAGAGGAGAAACTTTGAATTTTAAGTGTTTACATTATTCATAATTTATATTTTTCAACTGTGGGAATTTGCGTACGTACACATGTACATGTACAGGTACTTGTGCATGTAATGTACAATGTACCTGCCTAAGTTTTGACGAGGACAATTCTTAATGTGCTTTGTTCATATTCATAAATTCAACAGTAAATACTGTACATGTACATGTACATTGTACATGTCGGTGTTAATTCTTTGCTTGGGACCCCAGTCACAAGCAATGCACATCGAATGACAGTTTTAATGATGGTAACATGCCTCAGCTTAGCAAATAATGTCTGCGCTTTAGTAAATCTCTGCTCTGATCAGCTCGGTGAAATTGCCTCAGTTCGTATCATATTCAAGATTTTTACACCTTTTAAAAAAAATATTAAAAACAAAAACAAAACAAATTGAAGCCATGGATCAATACTAACCAAGTCTAGATATTAAGTAGAAATAAACTGCATGTAATGGTTCCAGAAAGATTTACAGTTTCAAAGGAAGCAATACAGATTAGTTCCCATGGCAACTGATTTAAAGTTCTCTGTTGGTGAATCTAACCAGACATATGAAATTTGTACAGTTGCACGGCCCTGAAAACATTCTCACTCCAAAGGCAGGCAGTAATTGGTTAATGTACACACAAGGGTGAGAGATTTGGTTGTAGAGTTGAGCACTAATAATTTCTGACACTACTCTATTACTTGGAATATGTTAGCAGCTATTGGGCGCGTACATGTACATGTCCACTAGATGCTTGATATTTTGAAATTTACCTGCACTGTAGTCATACTGACCACACTTTGATAAGTTTTTCATGAAATTAAATGGCCAAAGTTTATAAAAAAAAGTTGATTAAAAAATCAAGATGTTTTCATGGGAATCATTGCATTGGAATCACTGTTTTAAGATTATGGTTCAATTTTTTTTCCACACTTGTATCAAATTGCTAATCGTTATTTCCAAAATTATGCATTTGACTAAATTTGGATCAGCAGAAGAACATTGCATTGTGTACATTGTCAGAAATTGTACAGTGAAGGAAATGGAGGAATAACCTGTTCATTTAGCCATATTTAAAGAGGTTGTGGAATGCTCGAAGACATTTCCGTCATTTTTTGGGTATATGTAGCTTAAGGTGTGATGAAATAAAAACGACTATTGTTTCTGTCATGAAATGAGTACAAAGGTTACTTTTGAGAGCTATTTTTCAGGTACTGTTTCGACCCGAACGTGCAATTTGTGTAAAAGTCGTCATTGCAGGCAGCAAACAAAACACACAAAATCGTGACGTAATAAACAGGACTCGTTTATGCTACTCTGCATCGGGAGTCCTGTTTATTACGTCACGATTTACTGTGTTTTGTTTGCTGCCCGCAACGACGACTAAATACACAAATTGCACGTTCGGGTCGAAACAGGCATGACAGGACTTGAAAAACAGCTCTCAAAAGTACCTTTTGTACTCATTTTATGACAGAAACAATAGTCGTTTTTATTTCATCACACCTTAGGCTACATAGCGTATACCTGAACAATGACGGAAATGTCTTCGAGCATTCCACAACCTCTTTAATATGTGTGTGCACATTATTTTGGTGTACAGTTTTCATGTATTGGCAGTAGATTCTTTTGAATACGTGCATATATAATTATGCATCAGTTGTACAATTTTGGTGGTACAGTGTACATGTACATCGTATTATCACACTTGTAGTGTTAGACCCTATTTGTTTGTTCATGTTGTTATGGCTAACAAATGAATATGTTCCTGTATCAAATCAAATCATATCATTTTCAGATAAATTGTCCTCTGACCAAGTCACTGACTTACTGAATAAAATAAGACTTTTAGGTCTGGTTTGATTTATAGCAAGCCTTCTTTTGCTTATCAATAAAAGGATACAGTGCAATAGATTTAACATTCTTATCCCTAACCGCCCTGAATCCTCCAAAATCCTTTTTGCAACGTTACATGGCAAAAGTGCGTTGCTGATTTCGGAGTACGCTCTGTGTAAAGGTCTTGGGCCGGACCTTGTGTTGTTCATGCTCAGCCGTGCATAAATTTAGTCCTTGATTATACTTGAAATCCTCCGCACTGCTCCAGGATGTCACTGCCTCTGCCTCAACCTATTGACAGTCATAGCCGGAGGATTTTGCAGGATTCAGGCAGTGGTCACCTCTCCACGAACCATATTCAAGAAATACTGGAGGAATTTGCAGGATTGAGGCTATATGCTATTTTTCCATGAGGCCAATTGGAGGATTTTGCAGGATTGAGGCTACATCCTAGCAAAAAGGCCTAGGGATTTAGGGTTAATTAAGGAAAAAATCCAAAAGAAATGATTGAGTTTGAAACTCTTGCTGGTAGATGTAGTGGGTCATTGTGCCTTCTGAGTTGAATAATGTTTCCCACCTTTTCCATCTCTCACCAGATACTAGCCATTTTTGAGGAGGATGAAGACGAGAAAGTCACAGCCTTTGTAGAACCTTTTGTCATTCTGCTGATCCTGATAGCTAATGCAATTATCGGAGTATGGCAGGTGAGCACTAACAATAGGCAATTTTTATCAAAGATTTAACTTTGATTGTCAACAGAAAAGCTTGCAATTTGTGTGAAGTCGACAATCCATGTGCAGGAGTACCGTTCATCTGTGCTTGAGCAGGTGAAATGGAGAGATGTAATTGTACATTGAGCCATTCTTTCCGGAAAAGATTTTGTGCATGTAGCAAATGTTCACAGCTTTTTTTTGTAGGATTGATGAAATATTTATTACATTTATTTATATTCATTTATTTATTTATTCTTTTAACTGGGTAGCCCATTCAGTGGAATCCACTGATTTCCCCTGGGTCCCAGTAAAGAGAAGACAATGCGAAGAAATTAGAGTTTAAGATGTGGGAGGAAAAGCCCAGAAGAATATTCTGAGAAAAACCCACGGAATCAGGTAGGGACTGAAACCCAGTCCACATATTGGCCCAGGCGGGATTCGAACCCGGGTCACAGCGGTGGAAGGCGAGGAAAGTACCGAATGCCAACCCGTCTCCCCTTGCACCAACCTATTGCATACATTTCCAAGAGCAAAGTACAGTGGAATCTCGATAAGTCAAACGTCAGGGAAAGTGGCTCAAATTTTGAGTTGAGCAGAGTTTTGAGTTATCCAATGGATTTTCTATTCAACAGAAATTGACGGGGAAAAGTTCAAAGTTCACTTTGAGTTAGGAGGGTTTTTGAGTTAACGGGTTTTGACTTATCGAGATTTCACTGTAGTTTGACAAGAATTATTAGACTTCCCAATTGTTTATGTACTTTTGAAGTATGGCATTTTGTTAAATTGATAGTTTGACGGAACTTTCAAACTTGTTAATGATGAATTCTGTTTTCTTAGCCTGGATGTTCATGTATGAATGCATTTTTATCCTCAATTAATTAACAGCAGAAGCTTGACAGAAACAAAATGGAAACTGGTTAATTTGTTTAACAAAATTGAAATCAATTGAACACCACAAAAGTGTTAAACTGTTTTACATTTTTTTGCAGAATAGGCATCCCATACGTATTTGTTACATTTATGTATTGTTGTCGGAAATTCACTTCACAAAATTTGCATACATTTGCATAAAATATGTGTACACTGTGAACTGGCTTATAAAATGCAAATTTATTACGTGACTTACATGTAAGTCTTTTGAATCAGGAAAGGTTGTAGATTCACACTTGATGATATTTTCAACCAAAACCACTATCATTTTTTTCTTCATTCCCAATGCAATCATCTTTCTGGCACTGTTTCTGGCGCTGGCCTAAAATGCATGCAATGCGCACCGACCTGCTAAATAATAATGGCTAAATTTAGCACCCTTTGCATTTTTCGTTGACCAATTTGATTAAAAATCGATACTGCAGGAGCAACCCTCTGAGACAACGCTCCAAGACTAACAATAGCACGTCAAGGTCAATATTGCTGCTCGCTGAAATTTAAGATGTTTTTTTTTCTTTACCGTGTGCGTTGGTCTTGAATGCGGCATTTAGAATGCATTTGTTCCGCAGTTTAGGCTTCAGGTTACCCAAGTTGATGAATATCAGATATGCGATGTTGTTCCAAGCAGATTGAATTTAAACCATTAAAGGCATTGTGATGTGCTGGGGTAGAGTTTCATGCAATGTTAATATTAAGACTCTTACAAAGCAAATAAAGATGGCCTGGTCTATTGTCTGAGGGTACACTGTATGTTTAATATGGCTGTGATCTTATACTGTTTGCCAAACAATACGACACAAAGCATTTGAACTATAAAAATGTTTTTGTTAGTGCGTGTTGTATGGTTATCTCTGGCAAGGAGGGTGTCAATAAAATGATAGTTTATCAAGATGTCTGAACAGAGTCCGTTATTAACAAGTTCGCGTCTGATAAAGTGGAGATACATGCAAAGGTTTTGCTGCATTCGGAGCGGATGACAGATAAACACGCAACGAGTGGGGTCGGAATTATCTGTCAGCGACCTGCTCGCAGCGAGCGAGGCCAGAAATATCAGGGTGTGCTACCTGCAGATGACAGGCTGACATGGCCTGAACCCATCTGGGATCGTGGTTGGTGAAAAACAATCCCGGTCACTGTCAAAATAATCCCGCGTGAACTGGTTAATAATAATAAAAAAATTAATTCTCAGTTTTAGGCCAAAAAAAAAAGTCTTCGGTTTCTGGTATGGAGCTTGCCCAAAAAGTGGTGCGGCGACGCGGCTTTTTTTTTTTTTTTTACCTGTTTTTTTTGCTTCAAATGACGGCTGATGACTGCAAATGGTGCCCGACTAAACTAAGTGCAAATATATGGGAGTCCAGAGAGGCCACATAAAGCTTACTCTCGATCATAACCCCATCTAAAAACACGTTAAAATTGTGCAGCAGCAGGATTCCAGTCAAACCAGTGAGTTTGGCGGTTTTGAGACATCATCGTTTATTGAAAAAAAACCTTTTTCATTTTGCCGACGAGCATGGCTACGGCGACGCGCGCGCATACCAGAAACCGGAGACTTTTTACTTTTGGCCTTACATGTACAAAGGAAATATTTTACTGTGATTCCCCTGTGCATAGAACATGCCCATGAGTCACGTTTTCCATAAAATACATTAACCCTCTCGTCCCCCAACCCATCAAACCCCAACGGCCTGTTTTGTTGGAATCTGTCAGGATGGGTACAGTACATGTACTCTTAAACTGACAGTCTCTTACATGTACCGGTACATGTACATTGGGTTGGGCACACCTCCAGAATCAAAGTCAGAAATATGTGTGTGCAGTTTCCTGTATGGTTCCTAGTAAATTATGCTAGGAAGTTAGGGTTCTTAAAACAAACATTGGCTGTACCATGGAGCTATTAAATTTATAGCTCCATGGTTGTACAGGCACCATCCAAGTGCAATGTTTCCATTTTGTGCTCAGCACTGAAAGGTGTGGTGTGAGCATAATATTTAAATTTCTTTCAAATTAAGTGAATGAAAACCCTCCAAGAGAAAAAGCCTTTCCAGAAACAAATCACAACTCGCCTTCCCCAAATTGGAAGCATTAGGCCTAGTATTAGTAAAATGTAGTAAAAGAAAGACAAAAAAAAGTCATGTTATGTTTTACGTGTGACCGGTTCCATCATAGTTTTGCTGATTTTGGACAAAACTTGCCAAGCAGTATTTTCTGTTCATCATTGGTAATATTTGTGGTGAGTTGTGACTCTGATTTCGATTCTCCGTACTCCCTGTCAACTTTCAGGAGAGAAACGCAGAGAGTGCCATCGAAGCATTGAAGGAATACGAGCCCGAAATCGCCAAGGTGATTCGCATGGAGAAGTCCGGCGTGCAGAGAATACGGGCGAAGGATCTGGTGCCCGGCGACATTGTAGAGGTTTCAGGTAAGGCTGGCTATTTATAACTTGTGTGCGGGTTTTCTATTTATAGCTTGCTACCGGCACCTCTCTGGCATGCCAGGTAGAAACTAAAGACCGGGAGTTTTGATTGGGTTAAGTTTTAAATGGCAGTTTGTGTCGGTTGTACATTGTATGCCTGTATGTACATCTACATGTAGGTTTAAAGGGAAAATACAACATTTGCAAACATCAAAAAATAAAACTACCAAATCATTTTGAAATACCTAGCTGGACTGTTAGTGAATGACAGTGTAAAGCATCCTGTAAAATCATGGCACCTGGTATACTGTCATTTTCAAGAAAAGTGGTATTTTTGTATCAATTTCCAACGCTGATCGGCCGATCCGCGTTGGAAACAACTGTTTTTTTTTCAAATACTGGCCCCAATTGACCATCGCACTTGTTTGCAATCGATTACAAACCTATGAACGGGTACGAGCCAGCTAGACTGGTTCCCTGACCTTACAATTCCCCAATGTATGTAAACTGCTCTGTTTCTTCTTATATGGAGTCAGGGAACCAGACTACAGGAAAATGATTGTTTTTCTTGGTTTTTATAGCATTTTCGAACCCAAAACCTCAAAAAAGTCAGTGTAACTATATTTGCTATATTTCCAACCCCCCAATTCCATCCATTTCTGAAAATTACAGCAAAAGCAAATGATGTATATTCCCTTTAAGCTGTGTCTAACCATCTGCTGGTTGTACAGGCTGTTTGGGTTAGCGTCAGTGGAACTGGATGATTCCAACATAGGAATTTTACCACAATTAAGGCTGTTCATCGAAACTGGGTACCCGACCGTTACTGTCGGGAACCGGTTCTAGATTATGGGATCAGGTACCCGTAACCAATTTTAGAAATTACTTAGTTACTTCTCAGACAATGAAAAAGAAAGGTTTTGAAGTCATTTGTGGGGAATTTTCAAAATAGAAACGCAGGCCTCATGGGAAAACAAAACATGTTTCACATTTATGACGCTCGCGAAAGCTGCAGTTTACACTGTAAAGCTATAAAGCTCACTGTTCACACTTGTATCTTGCTGTATTGATGCGAACAATCTCAACAGCAACTTCAGAGATTTGAATGTTGGCATGTTTGGCGTTGGGTTTCTTTAACAGGTACCCGGGTATCCGTGCGTCTTCCAATCGGGTACCCGCTTCCTGTACTACCAGTAAATGCACACCCCAAACCAAAAGTTAGATGAATGGTCACCAAATCTGTTAAGAATTTAAAGAAAGGTGTTCAGTTTGTTTTTCAGGCTTCATGAATACACGTACAAAATGTAGGCAGGCTTCCTTCGACGCTGTGTCTAATCAAGCTGATTTTTACGTTTTAAGTAAAAAATACATCCGACGATTCCAAGTCCACAATTTGTCTGAAATGTTTTCCATTCCCAGTCTTCTTTTGAGTTGTGTTGTGTCTTTTTATTGCGTCATTGTGGCTCTTCATCAGCAAATAAAATAGCGGTAGCCTACTCTCTTCTTCCTTCTTACGCATTGATCCATTGCACAATCACATGTTGTTGATGAAATTTTAAGGATGAAAAGGAATTTGTAGCTTGACGTACATCATGCCCCTGGACGTGAATTACACTCAGAAGCAATCTCTTCAGCAGATCTGTGTAAACATGCCAAACCCATCTCATAATTAATTGGGGTTAATTGCCGCGGAACCAGCGGCAGTAATCACCTGCATTTAATTTAGTTTCTTCTTGGGAGGGACTGTGTGATGTACTTGTATGACATGCATTGGCACGTATGCAAGCACGTGTATATGATTATGATTACATCTACTGTAGTTGTCTGCAAAACGTGCACATATGCATTCATTGTGCATCTGCAATGTGTACCCAATTTCATAAGAGCTGCTAAGCTGAGAATGGTGCTAAGAACAGAAGATATCGGCTTAATACGTTACAGCAGAACATGTACCAGCCATACCCCTTCCTTAACAAATTACAATTTGAAAAATAACAAAAAACAACAACATGCATCAGAATTTGGGCATTTCACAATGTAGTGGGCAATCAAGAGTTTGCCATGGAGAGTCAATTTTTCAAGTTTACGGTCGACAAAACATGGCCCATTTGAATGAGTGTCAGTAGACAACTTGAGCTGATTTGTTAAGGATTGGGGCATGGCGTTCTGCCACCTTACAAAAAACATTGATAAAAAGAAAAGAAAAGGGCAAACAGATACTTGAATCATACGCTTATGAAACTACTGACTGGACAAATTTCAAATAGCCTGCACTGCGAATTTGTCCATCTCCCACAATGCACTGGGAAAAATTAACTCTCCGTGGCAAATTCTTTGTGGCGCACTGCATTGTGAAATGCCCGAATTGTATAATATTGACATTAAATACTATTCAAAAGATGAATTTGCATCGGGGTGATGTAAATCAATATTAGGTTTTTGCCCTTCACCGACGAATAAACACTGTCTACTCAGTATACGTGTTACCTCACTCGGGTGGGAATCGACCCCACGACCTCCTGCTTTCTAGTACAGACCTCTTACCTCTCGACCATCGAGCTTGCGGGATCGGTCAGCTGGTTCAAATCTGATGTACTGTACATGTAGCAGCGGGTACTGCAATTAAACTATTCATACGAAGCGAGCAAAGATTTGTTCCCTGTTTAACCTCACATTAACCAACCTGCTCATTAACACAGCAGCCATGGCAAGGGATGGGGAGGAGTTTATTGTAACAGCTCCATTTATTTTCTTATGCACTGGGCGTAGTTGTTTATGAACATACATGTAATGGTCACTCTCACTCTAATTGCACACATGGGATATATCTTGCCAGTCCACCAGAGCTAATCAGGTGCAATTCAGTGATGAATCTAATCAGGAAATTACGTTAGACGTGTCTCCTAATTGTCTTGGTCATCTCTCAGAAGGAATCTAATGGGTTGGCATATTGGCCTGTGAGGGAGAGCACAACTTGGAACGAAACAAAATTTTTTACCTAAAAACTAGAAGACAGGTACTGCTACATGTATGTTTTACAATCATCAAGTCTTTATTTTAACTTGACATCTGAGACATGCATGTGTTTTTGCAACCTTTTCAGTGATTAGGTGATCATGGTGATGTGGGAACCACATGCCTGAAAACAGGATTTGAGCGGGATACATTCCGGTATTTGTTCATAAATTATAGAGTAGCTATTTTCTGGTGTGTATTTGGATACTTTGAAACTGCTGTTTTGTCTATGTACATGAAAGCTGATGAACATTAGACTTTCAAAGTGCAGCTCGGATTGTAATAAACACTACCAGTACTTAGGTATTCGTAGAAATTGATAGGCCTGCCGGTACTTGAATATTCAATCGGGATTTTTTTTTTACCTTTGAACATTCCTGTTTGCATTGTCTCATGTACAGTACTGGGTAGTTTGGTCATAATTATTGTAAATTAAAAAATGCTTCTTTTATTAGTTTTAAATCAAATTGTGCTAAAAAAAATTTAACTCTCAATACTGGATTTACAGAGCAAGTGATTTTCTAAGAATATCATCCTCAAAAAAGTAAAAAAAAAACCTTCTTAAAAAAAAATAAGGAAATTATTCCAACACTATACAATACATAACAGTGCACACTACAAAACATAACTGGAAGTACCGGTAGATAAAACCAGATTGTTGTTGACTTCTCTTTGAATAACCAGTAAATCCCAGCTGGGATTTATCATTGATCCAGACTGTTTTCCAAGGGCCTTTTCGTATTGGGAGTCCCACACCTATGGCATGGACTGGCTCAGTTGAGATGAATTGCTGTCACAAATCCAGTGGGAGGATTGATAGAACTGAGCAGTACTTGTTAAAAATACATCATATACTGGTACCTGAGATTATCCATACAAAAAAGTGCAACACAATGATCAACACATTTCAGCTACAGGTAGAGAGTTACATGTACAGTGTACACAAATTGATTGCTCAATCTATTTTGGGGCACAATTTAAATCAAATATGAGTGTCCCACTTTTTGTCATACTGGTCTGTGCCATGAATGTTTTTGTAGGAAGTGATTTCCTTTGTTTTGCGTTGCTTAATGCGTGGCAGTTTTAACTTTTTTGCTTAATTTCACAGATTGTTCCACAAAAACTGTTTTTGTAGTTTTCAGGCATGCAAGTTTTCCTCGGATCAGCTGATTTCCTCTTTTTGGACCTCCCATGTGTGTCATTGAAAATAGAAAAACACTGTACAAAGTCTTACATGTAGAAAGATTTGAATTTCCTCTTTTTTGTGACTTACATACCAGTTGCATGCCTGTCGAGCTTTACTAAATAGAGGAATGCATAACATTGACCGTTTGCTTTAATTTTTTTTTACCAAATCACTCACTGCGTTGGCATAAAAATGTGTGTTTGCATGCTCATGCTTTATGTGTTTCTGGATGTGTTTGTTGAATCGTAGAGACAGGTATCAACCACTGAAAACTACACCGATGTACCGGTACATGTACAGCTACGGTATGCTGTTGGGTTGTCTAGATCTATGACCAAATCAAGCATCTTACGAGTCAAGGTTGAAGATGAAAGCTCTCTTGTGCTACCTCCCCCCCCCCCCCATGGCCTTTATCTCTACACCATCAAATTGCTCATTGGTGCTGATAAAAATTCATCTAAAATGTACCAGTAGGAGTGGAAGTTGGCTGTGTGTGACAACCCAAGCTTGCCATGAGAGTAAAAGCTCTACAATGTACAGTATATTGATTGGACTGTCCTTCCCTTGTAAATTCAGGCTTGTCAAAGGTCGTGGTGAGTTAAGGAGGAAACTAGTGCGAGTGCACCATAAACTCTGGCGGTCTTGCATGAAAGTCTTGCATGAAATCTATCAACACAATCCCTGTCAGAGCTTAAAAATGCGATGCCCAAAAAGGCTGCGCCGATGGCAAATAGGGAACACCATACACGTGCTTAAGATTTACAATGTATACCTAGATTTATAGCGAAATTGTGATAAATACCAC